TGGACTGAAATATTTTCCTGAATTCCAGGCCATTATAGGGGTCTAATCCTGCCTTTCCTAACTGGGAACCAGCACATAAATCTTGGCCCCAACTTCTCATTTGTGTGTGACAATCATTGTGGTCTATAATTAAAAAAGAAAACAAAATGGACACAGTAAATTCAATAAATGCACCTGGTGACTACAATCAATGCTGTTATAAATAGGATGGAACACACTGCTGTACAACATAGCAAAACAGAGACTGTGATCTTGAACCCCCATCAGACCCTTGGCAATTAAAGTTGTTAAATGATGCGGATAAATGTTTATGAACATTCTTTTCACAAGAGGACTACAGACTATGACACAGCTAAATAAGTCAAAGAAAAATCTTTCTATAGGAAAGGATGATGTATGGACCTATAAGTATTAATTTGGAATACAATGACAGAAAATTAATTTTAAATGTATGTTATTACCTATAAGTTTACAGTAGCTTGCATTTTCAGTAGCATTGTTTCAGGCAAGGTCTAACTCATGTGGCTTACCTAGCTTTTCCTAACACCAGGAATCTGGTTCCCTCCAGTCATTGGAGGATCTAGGATTTTCTAAATAAGGTACAACACACTGACTTTCGGACCATGGGGGATGGGGTGAAGCATGGCTGGAGACCGTAGGCTGGCCAGGGACACCAGGGGAAGCAGGCTGAGAGCTGGCACATGAGGAAGGTGGGAAGGGAATGGACACCCACTTGCTACCCACAGCTGACCTGGGGAGCAGGTGGAGCCCTAGAGCTGCTCCTGTCCTCTCCAGCTGGGGGCTGTGGGAAGCACCTGCACAGGATTCTAGGCTCTTCAGGAGACAGCAGCGATGGTTTACAGATTTCTTTTCTCAGCACCTGTTCCCTGCCCACCTGAAGATTTCCCTCCATGGCTAGGAGTCCCTGGATGACTAGGATAGAAGGAGGAACCTGCGTGCCACTGCCACTATCCCTGGGCAAACTGGGCTCCCTGCATAGCCATTCCCTTCAGTCTGGTCAGCCAAAGACCATGACAGTGGCATCAGTGGAAAAGTGCGCTCCTCCTTCCAGTGTCTTCTGGCAGCAAGGATATAATAGTAAGGGAGTGACAGAGAACTGGTGTAGGCAGAGGAAACTCACCTGCTGATGCTGCTGTTCCTTGCCAAGCCTAGCATCCCATGCAGCTGCAACTTGGGGTTGGAGCAGAGACCAGCTCAGCTCTCTCCTATTCCTATGTCAGCTGAAGACAGAATTGATGGTGGTGGCACCCTCTGGATCCAGTACCTCTGCCTCCACTTTCCCAGAGTGGATGGAGGCAGAAAGGGATCTTGCAGTCATCATTGACTCCAAGATGAACATGGGCTGACAATGCGAGGTCATTGTCGGCAGGGCTAACCGGACCCTATTGTGCATCCACAGGTGCATCTCAAGTAGGGCCAAGGAGGTGATCCTCCCCCTCTACGCGACACTGGTCAGGCCACAGCTGAAGTACTGTGTCCAGTTCTGGGCACCCCACTTCAAGAGGCATGTGGACAACATTGAGAGGGTCCAGAGGAGGGCCACCCGCATGATCCAGGGACAGCAGGGCAGACCCTACAATGAGAGGCTATGGGACCTGAACTTGTTCAGCCTTCACAAGAGGAGGCTGAGGGGGGACCTTGTAACCATCTATAAACTCACTAGGGGGGACCAGAAGGGTTTGGGAGAGACCTTGTTTCCCCGGGATAACAAGGAATAATGTCCGCAAGTTGTTGGAGAGTAGATTTAGATTAGACATCCGTAGGAACTACTTCACAGTTAGGGTGGCTAGGATCTGGAACCAACTTCCAAGGGAAGTGGTGCTGGTTCCTACCCTGGGGGTCTTTAAGAAGCGGCTCGATGCCTACCTGACTGGGGTCACTTGAGCCCAGTTTTCCTCCTGCCCAGGCAGGGGGTCAGACTTGAAGATCTATAAGGGCCCTTCTGACGCTACTTCTATGATTCTATGATTCCTCTTTTTATCTTTAATACAGTTACATTCATCCAGTTAAGAATAACACACAACATGATAATTAATGGGCATGTCTACACATGCATTTACACTGGCTTAAATTTACTGTGCAGTAAGTGGGAATAGGTCAGCATTACATGTGCAGGCATTAAAGCACATTAACACTGTGTGTGGACTGACTTGGGACTATAGTTAGTCACAAGTCAGTTCACACACGCAGTATTACTGCACAGTAAGGCATCTACATGTGTATTACTATGCAGTAACTAATCGGGCATGAATTTGATACCTGCATGATGTATCAAATTTACCTACATGATGTATCAAGCAGGTATCAAATTTATGCTCCAGTCAGCATAGGTCACCATATTTACTGTGCGTTAAGGGCGCACATGTGTAGACATGTGCCCGTACTGCACAGTAATTTTGATTAGTGCACAGTAAATGCATATGTGTAGAAGCACCCAATGGGAATCAAGTATGTACAGTTCAAAACAGTTCAAAGTTCTGTAAACTGTTCAAGTAATAAACACCTCTGCAAAAAGAAAAAAATCAAATGTGTGAGTTCGCAGTCAAAACTGTGACTAGTTCTAGCCACACCTCTACTTCCGTGTTGTGAAAACTATTGCAAAGCTTAATCTTGTGATATGCATAGGAGGTATATCATTTAAATTCCTGACAGCTCTGTTGGACCTGAGTGTTTCCATCTCTGCTGAACTATAGGTAGGATTTATACAAAACAAACCAGAAAACTGAATTTGCGTGAAAAAGCTGATGTTTATAGTCACAAAGTTACTCCACCTTTTCATTTTCCTTGTGTGTAACACTTCAAAATTTGAAATGTAGAAAAGAGCAAACCTGCTGAGACAGATGTTCAGATAACAAACAGAATGGAACTATGAATGAAAGGCTATGGGGAAGTAGGGTGGGGAAAGAAGGGGAAGTAGTAACATAGTATTCTTTCTTGATAACCCAACGTGTATTCAAGTGCTTTCTTTAGTCTTCCTAGTGTGAATGCACTGAAGGTAAAAACAGTAGGTGTACAAGAGATCTGATAATCTAGTCAATATCTCCCTTCTTCATGGTTGTCACTTATTCAGTCTTCAGTCATTGTTTTCATGAGTAAAGACTACAATAATGGTTCCAGGTATTAAACCATTATGAATTAACACTATAACATTGTGCAAAGGATTCTGGAGACCAGGAATATGCATCACTCAGCCTCTGGTACTCATCTGGCTGAATGACTAATAGCAAAAAATACGCATTACCAATAATGAAAGTATGCTGTCATCAGTGTGTAAGAATAGATCTAACTGCATGGTTACATATATAGCATCAAAAATCTGTCTTAGATGCTTCTACTTGTTATTGAAATCTAAGAAACATAAAATACATCATTTGTATGTGACATGGTTATATGCGTTTAGTCTCCACATTTATTCAGGGGCAAAACAAAAGAATATAATCAACTTAAAAATCTTTTTTAGGCAGAAAGTAATGTTTATTCATTGTGCACTCAGTAAATGAATTCTTCATAAGTACACAGTACAAAATATAGTAACAAGATGTGGGAAAATCAAGCAACTACATTTTCAAAACATAGCTGCATTAAATTGACAAGAGGTTTTGAGTGTTGAATATAAATGGCTGACTTTAAATAGTATGGAAGATTTGAACTGAGTTCATTTCCATGCCAACAATATGGAGCAATATTTTTTGTCAAATTAAATAAAGTTAGTAAATAGATAATGGATTTCCATTGACTTGGAAGAAGTCAGCAAGTCATTTGAAAAATAATTTCATATTTTATTGGGTGTCCTTTACATCTTCATTTATTTCACAAATGTATCTTTCAAGAGCAATTACCTTTTTCTTCTTTACCTATGAAGTCTGAATACTCTGTGAGGTTTTCTTAGTGTTATCAGTTCCTTTGTGTATGTCTTGTTCAATCTGCATCTGATTTTGACAGATCTTTTTTTACGTTGTTGGTCTAAAATCACATATTTTCCAGGTGGAATGAATGCATGTGACCTTGAAAGAAACCATATAAAATATTGTCACAAGACAAAAAGTAGACTTCACTGGGGCAGCTGTCACATAGGTGTAACAATGCACCTATCTCCCTAGTTACTAAAAGTATAAATGTGAAACAAAGAAACTAAGAAATACTATGAAACTTCTTAACATCACATTATCTGTTAAAGCTCAGAAAGGGTTTGCTTTCCTGTCCATGTTATTGTCTAATGTGCCCAAGATGACTAGTCTAGCAAAATAGTTTTCAGCTGACCAACAGGAGATGGCCAAATTCCTCCTACCAGTTCTAAAGCCAGTTGGCCTCATTCTCATACCAAGGGTCTTGTAGATCAAGATCAACTCTTGTTATATCAGTAGTGTTTTATTTTGTAAGAAGAGACAAAGACTCAAACAGCCATATCAAAACTGACATTTTCTAAAATAGTGTAGCCTAATAATGTTTTAACTGACTGTAAAACCACACAGATTGGCTTAATAGTGGTTTACAGCTACAGCCTGCAGTGGGGTGGCATGGCTATTTGATGCATTCGTAACATGTAATTTTTTTGGTTCTTCCCTCATTTATGCTGTAATAAATCAGGAAAAATCACATGGTCTTAATAGAATCATATGGTGTAAGAATACTGTGAGATGAGAATCAGATCAATGCGTCTATAACTGTAGGGTAAAAAGACTGCTCTGTCATCTTTTCTCAGGCTTCAGCATGCAGTTCCATTAACAAAGGTATATGGAGGCCCTGCCTCCTCAAGAGGACTCTTTCTAGAAACTCTAGTTTCAGGAACAATGAAAAACTGGAGCAATTCTGCCATTCAGAAGAGTATAAGGATTACTATTTTGAAAGATCTTCCTGAGTGGTATGCATCTGAGGAAGAAAGGAATCCTCCTTACTGCACTTGCATGCAGCATCAAAGAAACTCAAAGTTTATCTTCTAAACATCCTTAACAAGTTCTTTTTAATTTCTTTACTTCTAGGGTCTGAGGTGGCTGATTTTGATGGGAAGAGTTGCCTGCTATACAGATTTAATCAAAAGCCCATGAGTGCATTGAAAGATGTAATTTCTCTGAAGTTTAAAACAATGCAGAGTGATGGGACTCTACTCCACAGAGAAGGACAGAATGGAGATCACATCACACTGGAATTAATGAAAGGAAAACTTTCATTGCTCATTAATTTAGGTAACAACTATGGGGCACACACTTGAAATGCATCTATTGGATATTATTTATCTAAAAGTCCTTTCATTTGCCAAGTTTAAACTATAGTACATCATAAGCTAGTTGTCTGTGGTTGAATACCCATATTGTTTTTTAAAGTGGAACTAATAGTTTGTTATTTTTCTTCTCTCAAGGTGATGCTAAAATTCATTCTGCTAATGCCCAAATTAATATCACCCTGGGCAGCCTTTTGGATGATGAGCATTGGCATTCAGTCCTCATTGAACACTTTAACAATCAAGTAAACTTTACAGTGGATAAACATACTCATCATTTTCATGCAAAGGGGGAATTCAATTATTTGTACCTTGATTATGAGGTGTGAAAATTACCTTTCATTTATTATGTTTATTACCTTTGCTATGTAAGTGCAGAAAAACAAGTGAAGGGGACAAAACTGTATAGGGAACTTTGTGGTAATTCAAACTTTTAGCAAAGTTCATATTCTTAAAGAATGGATCAGAAAAAAAAGTTTTCTGAATCTATTACCCTTGACTGACAACAGGACACTCTGATGAGATTACTTTTGCCTCATACATCATAACCCAGCCTTAGTTGTTGTTGTTTCCAGTAGTGTTGGCAATGTACTAAGTGCTGTACAAATGCAGGGATGATTCCCCATTCAAGAAATCTTACTTTATTTTTTGTTCGAAGTGAAAAGAGACCAACTAAGCAAGACCCATTTCTAAAATGTTTGGGCACTTCTACACGTTCATTAATGTGCTTTTGCTAATGCACATTCAATGTAGTGCCTCCATGGTGAGGTACTAGACAATGGCACATTAGCCTACTTTAATGTGCATTAGCGAAAGCGCATTTTTTTTATAACACTTTAATGTGCATAAAAATAGGCTAATGTGTGTTAAAGTGCACATGTAGACACACCCTTTGGTTTTAACATTTCACTTACCTTAAACCCAGCAGTTGTACAAGAAACACATTTTATGAAAGCAGACAAATTAATATGTATTGCATTTGTAAAGGATTATGTATAATATACTGCAGAGACATAAACTATGGTCCACGGACCACTTGCTGGTGGTCCATTGAGATCTGGCTGGTTACAGTATTCTGGTTCCACTTCAGTTATTGTTGAGTCTAATGAAACATCTGAGTGAGGGGGATTAATGGATTTCATCCTGCAAAGTGCTGAGCATTCTGGCAGCTTTCCAGCAAGTCACTTAAGCACATGGTTGAATGTAAGCATAAGTATTCTACTTCAACTCAGTCTTCAGATGATTAAAGTTAAGTGTTTGCTTAAGTATGTTGCTGGATCAAAGCCAGGATCCTCAGTACCCTAGGGAATAAAGCCCCAAGTAAAAAGTATTTTTAAAACTTTTTTGAAAAGACAATGTCCATGTTTCACCATGTAAGCAATAATACATAATTATTTTCCTAATTTCACAGTTCTTGTAACAATTACTGTCATTATGATTAAGGATGTTGTGACTAGAGTTGTGTTAGAAATGGTTTCCATGTCTCATGAAAATATTCGAGATTTCAAAACATTTTTTCACCTGAACTCAGTACAAAAACTCAAAACTGCAAAAATTTTAATGAACCTGAAACCTGCTTCATGTCTGGGCAGTCAAAACATTTCATTGTGATAATTACAAAATGATTCATTTTGATTTAAACTTCTAAATTTGTTTTACCCTTTTTTAACTATAAATTAACTGAAGTTTCTAAATGAAAAGTTCTTTTGAACAAATGGAAAACATCAATTACCAAATGTCAAAAACAGATCTATTGACATTTTCAATACTTTAAAAAAAAGGATTTTGCATTGAGAGATTGCTTGAAACTCTGTGCTAGTGAGCTATTTCAGCTTCCAGCTGTTGATTTAACATTAAAAAAATGGTAAATTGAAAGAAAATTCTCAACCAGCTCTAGTTCTATAAGATCATAAATAGAATAGTTACCCCTTAAAACCACCTCTATATTCAGATTAACTCACACTATGAAAATGTTTAAGAACTGCTTTTTGAAATATATCACGTCACTTATTTCCAGAATGTTATAATATCTAGTTTTGGTAGTGTTGGAATGATGTTGTAGCTGTGATAGTGCAGGAATCATGCAAGAGGCAATGATTGTTGTGGGTGATATATTTTATTAGACTAACTGTATGGCTGGTACAGACTTAGACAAGCTTTTGAATGCAGTGCATTCTTCATCAGATCTGATTTTCTGAGTTGTGACAGTAAGGTTTATTTTCTTCATTCATTTTTTTCCCCCTGGAATGCCTAAATAGTATCCTCAGAGAATTAAGGTTTCAAGGTTAAAAGATGTTTTGATGCATAGATGGGAGGGGGGGGGGCTAACCTGTATTTTAAGTTTTAGATATGATAATAGTGAGGAGCTAAAAAAATTGATTGATTTAGAATTGGCCAATCTTTGTCTCCTGCTACTATATTGTTAAAATGTTATCATCGGCTTTGCAAGCAGATTGTCAGAAAATTATTTAATAGTATTATTGATTTCTCTTTTCTTTCTAAGCTCAGCTTTGGAGGGATCCCAATATCTGGAAAATCAGGGACATTGTCACGCAAGAACTTTCAGGGGTGTTTTGAAAACATTTATTACAATGGAGTGAACATTATTGATTTGGCCAAAAGACATAAACCTCAGATATACATTGTGGTAAGATAATCAAACTAAAAAACAAAGCTGTTTTCATGTTTGTCATATATTAATAAAGGGTCCTAGGAACCTGTTATTCTTTTAATAGAGACAATAAGGCAGAGTCTATAGACATGATTTTATAGTATGACTGCTTCTGTGTAGATTTCACCAGGTAGCACATACAGAACATACAGAAGAGAGTCATAATTTGGGTACTTGAGCTTTTTCAGCATAAAGCAAATGTCAGACAATGCAGCTTCTATTACATACTATTGTGTGTCTAGTTGCATCAGTGCTATAACCATTGTCCCATCACCTCTCTGGCAAACATGAGTAATAAAAGCAAGTAGCAAGTACTACCAGTTATTGGATTGGTTTCAGTAGCTTATCTGAATTATCCAGATATTTGATATTTGGTGAACTGGGCCACAAAACTTACTAGGACACACTTTCTTGCAATGTTTCCTCTCCTTACTCCTTCTTTTTAGTCCATTAACATAAAAACCAACAAATTGTGGCAGTGATATTTTGAAATTTCTACCATCAATCTCGAGACATGCTAAATAGAGAAAAAATAATTTTAGTCGTAACATTATTTTTTATTCTGAAAATCTTTTTTGTTTGAGCTCAGTTCAAAATATGAGCAATCTCAGTTGCTCTATCTTTCCTATGAGCAGAAATATTAGAAAACTTCCTCTGTTTTAATTTATTTGGCATGTCAGCCTTTTCTCAGAAAGCATACCGGAAGTTCCTTAAAAATAATAGAGAATAAATATACCTAGAATATCCCTTTCTCAGTAGCCTTTTCTTGAGAAGTTAATTAATAAAATGTAACTGCAGAATAATTGAAACATAGATTAAAAATGGAATCATCTTGATCTCAACTAATATAAACTGCTATATTATTTGGTTGGAAAATTTAGGAAATATCTTGGAATTGTAAAGGTGCCAGAAAGCATCCATACTCTTTCTGATTCCTTGTTAAGTAGGCAGTCTGCTGGTTTGCTATGGTATCAGGCAGCTGTCCAAATTATGTGAAGGGGGAATCTACAGATGGTAAAGCTTTTAGCTTTTAACAAGGTTTATTAGTCTGTTGATTGCCTTTTCACTATGGGTCAGTTCAGTTTACTATCCATCTTTCTATGGTTGCATTCATAAGAGAGAGCTTTTAATTTTTTCCCCCACAGAGTAAAAGAGAATAGATTAGCTTAATATATTGTCATGACAAAGCCAGGGGCAAGTATGTATTTTTCTAGTGATATTACACCCATGCACTTACTGTGTAAAGTTCTATATAACCTTAGATGTGTAAAGGTAGTTTGTGTTGACCAGTAAAAAATGTGCGTTAACAGCCTGGGAAAAATTACTTTTAGCCATTCACAATACTGTATGATTGTAATTACATTTAGAGTGGTGCTAATAAGTGTTTAGATCATATTGTCCATCATGTATCTGAACCAAGAATCTGTGCAGACATGCATAAAGTGCCCACTAACTCTGAAATCAATTTGTGCAAATCTGCTGTTGACATTCTGATGCTCATTTCTTAGAGTATGTTTGCCAGATGGCCCCTAGTCCTTAAGTGCATTTAGCCATCTAACTCCTATTTAGGTATCTAACTCATATTCATGCACCTAACTCCCATTGAAAGCATGTGGAGTTAGATGCCTAAATACCTTTGAGGATCTGAGCCTTACCTTTTGCTTGACAAAGTCTGCACGTCCTATTTGGATGTAATTAACTGCATGTTTTTCCTTCGTTATTTATGGAAATGAAGATTATATTCTGTTCTAAATCAAATTGAATGATAGAGTGTGTGTTTCAGGCCAGTAAACTGATTTTCTCAAGGACCAGAAATTCCATGTTCTATAATATTCACTGCCCCAGGTCCAGCACTGCTTCTTCCATGTGAACATTTAATCCTCTTTAAATTGTTGTTAAATACCAAATCTTTATTGCTAACTTATCTGACATTTGGAGGTCCAGCCTAGCTCATGAAAGTCCTAGAGAGAGTCCACAGTAAAAAAAAGAATAGTTCAGTCCATTCTCTGTGACACGTTTCTATCAATTGTGTCGTCTGGAATTTTAACTTATTCAGTCAAGATCTCTCATTTGCTCTGTGGATCACCTAGCTGGGAGTTGGTTGCTATTCTGATACTTCTCAGATACTTCTCATGGGCATGTCTAAACTGGTGGCTGTATGCTGTGGCCTGGATGTCTCTAAATACATCTCAAGTACCTAGTGCTGAAACATGCGAAACATGGAAGTACACTGAGGAAGACACTAAGGGGTGTTCCTCTCTAGCTTCTACTGAGACCTTTGTCTCTGGCATGTTTGACTAATGGGGACAACAGGACAGAGGCTTTGTGGTTATCCTGGTGTTTTGGAGCTTGACAGAGACAGAAGGTGGAAATCATGCTGCTCTGATGTTAGTATCTTTTCATAGTACTGCTGAACTATGTGGTTTCCATAAACGGTCTGATACAGCTATATTTGGAGTGAATTGTTGTACTCAGAACATTCATTATACTGTATTTATTTCATTTATTTACAGGGCAATATATCCTTTTCTTGTTCAGAGCCACAGATGGTTCCTGTTACATTTCTGAGTTCCAGTAGCTATCTAGCTCTGCCTGATATGTCTGGGCAAGATGAAGTATCCATCGGTTTTCAGTTTCGTACCTGGAACAAAGAGGGACTTTTGTTATCCAGTAAACTATATCAGGCTTCAGGTGGTCTCCTTCTGTATCTGAGTGATGGAAAAATTAAAATGAGCCTTTATAAACCAGGAAAACCACAAAGTGACATCAGTGCAGGTATCAAAATCATTAAGATCTCTATTTAAAAAAATGATGAGTTGAATAAAAGATCTTATTTATCCTATATCAGTGATCTGTTCTTATGATCTGGTTTGCAATGCTTATTTATGTATGCAATCTTTACTCTTTTGAATTTTGCTGTTGATAATTTCAAAAGCAGACCTTTTTTCTTTTTCTGCGATGTGTGGACATGTATATACTTCCAACTGTTGGTAGATGTAGACTACTTGTTTGAGTAAGAATTTTTCACAGGAGTTTGAGCAGGAGTTTGGGCCCCAACTCTGTGTATGGTATGTAAATACTTTCATGCATTCTATAAATGTAGAACCTGACTATTATCATCTAACTTTACAGTTGGAAGACAGAAACCAGTTGTTTGCCTGAATTGCAGTGTAGATCCACCAACGGCATTTATACACATGCTACGGGAGTAGGACGGGGCTCTAATTAAAGATCTTGTGTAGACACAGCCAAAAAGAAACTTCTGAAAGATCCAATTTACCCTTGCCAAAACCATCAGAATATGCCAGGCAAACGAATGCATATATTCCAGAGTGCAGCTTATAGAGATAAGTGCTCTGAAACGGGATATGATAGAATATTTGACAAGAAAGGACCCAAGGCTGAAAGACATGCCAAGCTCAGAATTGGAGTTCACAAAATAGCTTGTGACACAGTACATACTTTAACACACACAAGATAACACAATATTGAAAAAGATGCAAAAGCTACAATGGAAGGTATTGCTTTCCATGGTTTTGTGATCAGCAGCAGAGTGTGCCTAAAATGCATAAAGCAGGTAGCAACTATGTGCGGCAGACTGTGCAATTGTTACTATGCAGTCATTTAGTACTTGTATAAGCGAGTACTAAATGCCTGCGAAGTAACTGGTGTCACTGCACAGTACAGTCACCACACGTTTTTTTTCCCCGATACTAATGTAAGTAGCTCATTACTATTCCACAGCAGTGATGCATCATGGTTAGTGCCCAGCAACCCTACTGCATGGGAGCAATGAGCTATGGTGCAGTTGCAGTGAGCTACTGCACCATAGCATATCATACTGATATGCCCACAGATGACAATGGTACCATTAGCACAGAGGAGTTCCTCATGGAAAAATAGATAAGATAAGAGGAGATTAATGGACTATGAACCTCAAATAAAATGGATGTAGATGCCCAAGCTAGCGTAGTACCAGAAACAGTTATATTAGCCTTAAAGAAGAGGATGCTCAAGGAGTCAAAGAGCAACTAGAATAGTCATCATACTGCGCAATATTAGGGGGTCATTGTAAGTTGGGTGAGAGGACAGGACTTTTGCTTATATATTGACTGAAAAGAGTTAAATAAGAATGTAAAAAGAGCAAAAATGCACACGCACGTGCACACACAGGGCGTGTATACACGTGCAAATAATCTGGTAACAGCTTACTCTGGAGTAATCTTGAGTAAACTCTTCTGGGCACTCATCTATATATGCAGGGCTATGTATACAGCAGCAGACTGCTCCCACTCCCTGTGGCCCTAAACTGGGCCCCTGCAGCAGCCAAAGAGAACTCTAGAGTAGGTGCTAGCCCAGGGAATGGCAGGGATCACATGGCCAGGAGATAGCTGTTTTCTGGTGGGGGCTGGGACATTGCTTCCTGCCCCTGGAAGCTGCCTGCTGCTGGGGCGAGCTCTGCCACCGGAGCCTGGGAAGACACAATGTCCCCCTACCCCTGCATCAGGGAGCTCCCAGCCCCTGCTCTGCAATCATGGTCATGGGTCTGGTGCTGGGAGATCCTGAGAATCTCTCAACACCAATCCCATGACTGCAGAGCTGGTACCTGGAGATAAGGATCTCCCAGTGCTGGCCTCACAACTGCAGAGCTGGTGCACTGCGGAGTTCAGGCTGGGAGATAAGGATCTCCCAACACCCACTCCCAAATCACCAAGTAGGGGCTGGGAGCTCCCTGCAGCCTGGGCCGGGGGGCCATAGTCCCCACCTGAAATCCAGTGGTGGAGCCCACCCCAGCAGCAGGCATCTCCCAGGGGCCAGAATCCATTTCCTGCCCACTGCTGCCCGGCTCACTGGGAGCACATTTGCTCCAGGTCAGAAATCTACACGTGTGCTACTGCACAATAAGTAATCTCAAGTAAATTTGCTACTTGCATTTGTAGGTAGCAAATTTACTCATGATTAGAGCAAATTACTGAACAGTAAGTGTCTACACATAGAGATGGTGATGCTTACTGTGCAGTAATTAGCTCTAATCTCGAGTAAAGCATCTTGTGTAGACACGCGCACACAGGCACGGTTCCTGGCACAAAGAACTTTCGATTTAAATACATAACATGGAGAAAAAGAGAGGAAATATAAACACAGAATCTTGGGCAACAATGCACACCAAGTCAGTGGAACAGTTGAAAATGGAATTGAGAATTCTTGAACTTTAGTTCAGTGATCTCTTTGGTAGACTGCATTGCCATTGCTGCTTTCTGCTATGTTCCTCATCCTTTTTTATTTGTTCCACCTGGTACAACATTCTACTTCCAGCAGGGAAAGACAGACATAACTCTGTAGTTTATTATCTCTCCACAAAGGCATAATGATTACATGCACATTGTAAAGTTGATTAATTTAATTCAAGAAAGAATTTCATGTCAGTAATGATCATGGATAATGCCAACATTTACATAAACATTCCAGTCCTCCTCCTAGTGAAGACAAATGGTATTTTTCTGTAGATTTTAGTGGGAACAGGATTGGCCCCAACACGTTTTACATTAACATAATCAATGCACAGAGCACACCATGTTAATGATAAATGGGTTTCCCCAGACTCCCAATCTGAAAATGTTAATTCCATAGTATATGTGTCAGCAGCGTGTAGTTTACAGTGATGCATTTGACTTCTTCAGAAGCTGTTTCAATCACAGCTTAATTATATGATGTATGTTAATGAAATTGCTTCAGTGCAATGTCACTTTCCTAGGCCTGTTGAAGGTAATGTCACTTTTAACTGAGCTATTGACGTGCATGTAAGATAAATTACTAAGTATCAAAATAGCAATGAAAGTATGTAACTTGTTTTAATAGACTTAAAATTCTCAAATAAATCTTGAAATGCCATATTAGAATAAAATTAAATATCATTATATTTTATAAAAATACTAATCTCTTTATATGGTCTGATATGCAGAACAACATTTGTTTATGCAAATCAGAAGCTAATGTTTTTTTTTTTTAATCTCCTATTTTCTCTTGAGCAGGAAGTTATCTAACAAAACCATACAGTAAACTTTTTCTTGAGCTTTTGAAGTGTTTATTGTTGTTACATTCATTGGAGCAAATCAAGTCTGCATTTGGAGATTGAATAATTAAATTATGGATGGTTGGACAGGTTTGTTCCGCTAAAGGCAGAGACATATGACCTGGCTCTCTCACACACAAAATTTGATAATTAAATCAGAGCATATTATTTTGAGCACAGTTCTCAGAACTTATTACCATGAGTTTTTAAAAGATTTCTTCAGCCATATGAAAAGAAGGGAAATGTTATATTAATTCATGAACGATTAAGTTAAAATAAGCTAAATCCTTCTGTTAGAGAAGGATTGTTTGATATCTTTTGTCCTATGTAGTCTCTTTGCAAGTTGGTCATCAAAAGTTAAGAAAGAACATAGAGACTTTTTTTTTTTTTAAAGGAAATGAACAGAGTTAATTTGTGTTGAGCACTGATGAGACCACAGCTAGAGTACTGCATCCAGTTCTGGGTGCCACACTTTAACAAGGACGTGGACAAGCTTGAGAGAGTACAAAGAGCCACCTGTATGATCAGAGTTTTAAAAGGCAAGCCATACAAGGAAAGGTTGAGGGATCTGGGACTCTTCAGCCCGAGGAAAAGAAGGCTGAGGGGGACCTGGTAGCAGCTTACTGCTACATTAGGAGAGTACATCAAGGGCTTGGTGAGCAACTGTTCACCAGGGCACCCGAGGGGAAAACCAGGAGTAATGGCCACAAACATTAAGCTCAACTTTAAGAAAAACTTCTTCACAGTCAGGGTGTCCAGACTGTGGAATAAGCTACATCCAGAGGTGGTGCAATCACCTACTCTGGAAATCTTCAAGAAAAGACTAGACAGTCACCTTGGTGACTGTCCAGATAACCTGACACCCAGTTATCTTTCCTGCTTGGTGCAACACGAGGATCTTCCAAGGTCCCTTCCAGCCTTAAAATCTATGAATCTATGAATGATGAGTCCAAATTGAGTTACAATATGTATGCATGTTTGAGATACTAGTACTCATTTTCTTTATATGACCTTATGATGTGCATTTTTAAAATAGTACCTTTTAATTAAATGATTTTGAAACCATTACATTCAGATACTATATTTCAGGTTACATTTAGTAATTATTCTTTGAACCAGTGGTTCTCAACCTTTTTGTATCAGGACCCATTTATACAAACTGATGGCCAGTCCCAACCCAGTAAATAGCTTAAGTAGAAAACAGTCTCCTGACTCTGCTGGTGCCCCTTACTCCCAACCAACAGCCCCCCACCCCTCCAGGCCTGCTGGTTCCCCTCACTCCCAACCCACTGCCCTTGTGCCCCCCAGCCCTCAGAACACATACTCCTAGTGTGTGGGGTGGCAGGGGACATGGGGATTTGTGCACCCACAGCAGGCACAAGACTGCATCCTGGCTGGACCGGCATGGGCAGGAGCTGCCTCCATGGCCCAGTAGGCAGGACCCAGCATGGGAGAGTAGAGTGGGGCAGTACAACACATTGCTGCCACCAGGACCCCTGTGCCAGCTGTGCTGCCAGCACTGAAAGGAGTAACAGACTGAGTTAGCTATTTATTATATAAATCCATGGAATTAATTGTTTTAACTGGGGTTAATACTTAATCACCACTTTTTGGCTCAAGAATTTTCTTGTACAACATTCAAAACTCCACAGATATTCTCAAGCAAAAATCAGGAAAACACAAAAAAATCTGCACCAGTTGT